TACCTGGGATCTTCCTGACAGTGGTGGACTGAATTATGTGACAGGTCGTGGCGGGTGAGAAAACAGACGTACGTACAGACTGAAACTAGAAGACTTGGGTTTCGTGGATGATTTGTGTCTTGTGTTTCACAAACTTGAAGATTTACAGGCGAAAACCAACAAGTAGGCAGAAGAAGCAACGACGACAAGAATTCAGATGGACATAGAGGAGAAATAGGTGATGAAGACACACGATAACTACACAACAACCAACACCAATCACCATCAATGGGAGATATTTAAAGGAAGTCACCACCTTCACTTGCCTAGGCAGCATCTCTTCAACCACAAACAGGAGGCACGGATGAGGATGTTAAAGCCAAGATCAGAGAAGGATTACTCTGAAATCACTGTGGAGATCTACGGCACTCAACACAACGAACAAGATCCGGATCTAAAACACTAATAACAAGTCAGTGCTTCTATATGGTTCAGAGTCTCGCTGCATCACAAAAATCACTACCAACAAACTGCACCCTTCCATCAATAGCCGCCCCTTTTGCTGACTAAATACTGAAGTTTAGATGGCCAGTCAGAGAGGATAAGCAACAAAGAACTTTGGCAGTGCAGAGAACCATTCAAGAACGGAGGGAAATATAGATGGTTAGAACAAACGCTGAGGAGACGTTTAAGTGATATAACACACGAGACAGGTCCTCAGATGGAACCATAATGGGAAGTAACGGGTTGGACCTCCGAGCGTAACATAGAAAAGATCCTGTGAAGAGGAAATGAAAGCTTTATGGGAGACAGCTGAGAGTAATGTCAGAGAATAGAATACAATGCAGGTGTGTTCCTGAAGTCGTCCCAAAGAACGAATAACAGTAATCATGTTGGATTCAGAACAACAATCTTAGTAAGTTTCCTAATTGTATGAGGATATTGGTAAAATTTATACCTACTTATCCAAAAGAAAATATTTTCAAAACATGTGATTAACCTTCTTCTTGTTCTTTCGTTTTGTTTTACTATACTCTCTTAAAACTCTAGGTACAGCAGTGAAGAGTAACAGTGAACTGACCACCACTACCAGTGAAGTGTGCGCAAATGATGAAAATAACTAATCATTATATTCGTAGGAGTAGTTAGTGCACAAATGGAAAAACAACAAAATCTATTGAGCACTTACATTCTAAAAAAAAGAAAATGATTCATAGTGCATCTCAAAAATCAATATTTAAAAAAAGAATTATCAGTGTTGATCAAACAAATGACGGCCTTTTTCCTTCATTTTGGATACTTACATTTACACACTAGGTATATCAACTTTGTAGGTTGGAAAGCAAATTGCTCAATTCACTTTTAAGCTTATACACAAATCACTAAGCGAAAGCAAATATGTGTAGAGATTAGTGATACGGATATTCTACCAGACGGATTCCATAAATTACAACTAGTTGCACAGATACAAAAGGCTAGTATGGCATTCACCAGCTCATGTCATCCATCATCTTTCGCGAAGATATGATATCCGGTTATCAATCAAGCGTGGTGTGTCCTTGAGGAGTAGCAGTAGTCCACTTTTATGGCTGTGAGACATGGCTATCGAAAGGGGAAGATATTAAAAGGCTAGTTGCCTTTGACCACAGGTATTTGTGTTCTGTCTCCCGTGTTAAGTGGTATAATATGGTGAGTAATAACGAGGTTAGGCGTAGAGTCTTCTGTAAGGAGGGAAAATCAATCGATAAGATTGTGAAGCTACATCGATTGAGATAGGTAGGACACGTATTGCATATGCCAAACCACGGCATTCTTCAGTGAGCAATTTTAGCTGACACTGGATGGATCAGGTTGGAGAAGAGTTAGGAATGGTCAAACTAAAACTTGGAATCAGTCCATGAAACCTTTAACACAGTTAGTCTGAGTCAAGTAAGGAGGTGTAGACTTCCTGACTGACTGGATGGGATCCTCGGGATTCTAAGAACCAATGACTGGAGACTATTGATGATATAGTTTGAAATACTTCACAATAGCGCAGATTACTCCACTATTTGAGATCTTCTAGATCAATTAAACTCTCATTTTTTGCATGTCACTATTCTTTTTTCCCTCACATATCAGGCTTATTTGGTTCCTTTGAATCTCTTTTTATCTACTCTTGTGTGCTATTTGCAATGCGGCAACTTGAACTGCTCCATCTCTGTTCAAAGTTCTATAGTGAAATTCAGTCAGTTGCACATGCTTTGAAAATTGGAATGTTTAGACAAATCAACTGAAAGTGTTATCATTAAAACTCTTATTCTCTGAACTGAGTTACCTGCAGCAGAAGGTGTTTCATGCATCGTGCTAAGGTTATGAAACTATATCCTATTGATTGACTGAGGTGACTAGTTATATACCACTCACATCAACCAGTAGTGCCTACCAGCCAGATTGAAATAATGTAAACACCGAAAGTATAAAACTTGGACACTGTGGTAGAGTATAACTCCATTGTGGATAAGATTTTATTTTGATAAATCACAAAGTGTTTGTTATACAGTAATATTTACTAATGACCACCTTACGAGCACAAATTATTGCAGCTCATAATCATTATATCAAGGCACTACTCACACAACTTTTTTCCTTCATTTATATACATGAGTAAAAATTGTTGATTAGACATTTGAATAAAATTAATATAAGATAAAGTACATTCGGTAATAATATTAGTGTTACCAATCAAATACAGTCAGATGGGAAATAAGATGTTTTTATAGTGAAAAAATAAGTAACTTGCTAGAATATTATAATGTGCATTGAAACACATTTTAACACTATTTATTATCCTCTGATTTGGCTCACTGGTGGTAATAATATCTTCCATATCTCTGGCATTTGCATTGACTCATTTCTATTGCATGTGTTGTGTTGAGTGTAGACTCAATGAAGCACGATTCAGTAATCATTTTCTCTCTCTCTCTCCACCTACCTATATTACATTTTAGAATTTTGACTCTGTCTCACCCACTCTATTGTGTGGTTATGTGTTAATGCATGCAGTGCAATTGCTGAGTTTTTCTCTAAATTACTTATCTTCGTGGGACGAACCACTATAACCTTCGCTAAATTCTTATGTTCTCATAATCTCACTACCCCCGATCTACTAGTCTGACCTATGTAGTTGACCTCACAGTCATTGCAAGATATTTTGTAAATTATATTATTTTGTTTAATTGGCTCCACCGGGTCCTTTAGCCTACAGAGCTTGTCCCTGCCTGAGTGAGTTTGTAGGTTTGAATACCACTCTAATTCCTGCTTTATTGAGAATCCTACGTAGGGTCTCAGATGTCCCCTCCTTACATAGTAAAACTGTAGGTGGAGAGCGGCTGATTCCTGAATCTTTGTTCATCGAATCGACTACACCCAACACAACACATGCTATAGAAATGACTTAACGCAAATAATACCAGAGATATGGAAGATATTATTACCACCAGTCAAATCAGAGGAGGATAATAAATAATGTTAAAATGTATTCAATTCACATTATGACATTCTAACAAGTTACTTATTTTTACCATAAAAAACATTTTATTCCCCATCTTATTTATTTTATTCAAATGTCTAATGATCAATTTTTACTCATGTATATAAATGAAGGAAAAAAGATGTGTGAATGGTGCCTTGATATGATGACTAAGAGCAGCAATAATTTGTGCTCGAAAGGTGGTCATCAGTAAATATTACTGTATAACAACACTGTGTGATTTATCAAAATAAAATCTTATCAATAACGGAGATAAACACCGAAAGGCTGTTTCTCTCGTTTTGAACAGAGCTTATCAGTGGTGCATCCGATTTGTCCCAGGTCAGAGAGCCGAATCAATTCAAATCACCTGATTTCTGGTTGGCTAGTTACTTGGGTGAACTAGTGTTACCACCATTATAAATCGAATTCTCAATTTACAATTTACAACACACCGTTCGAGGAGGTGAAATTTCACCACAGTTTCCTTTGCAAACCGAAATTATTCAGATCACAATAATAAATATGATATGATACGCTTGATATCATAAAGGGTAATCACACGAAAACAAGCATAAATACATGATACTATATACTACTGACTAACTGATTCAAATAAGTAGTTGTATACCACTCACATCAACCAGTAAGGTGAATGGGTGAAATTTCACCTCCTCGAACTCTGCGAACTGTAAATTAATTTGCAAATTGTGAAATTGATTTAGTACGTGGAGACTGATGATACCATTCAGTTGCCCAGGGTGAGGTAGATGCAGCGAGATTGGAACTCGACGTCCACTACACAGGTTGAAAGTCAAGTGCTTAAGAAGATGAGCCATGTCTTCACTCTCATACACTAGTGTCAAAAATCGAATTTTTAGTTTCACTTTGAGTGTCTGAAGTGAAGAAATAAGCTAAAAATACAACTTGGTACATCTTGTAATTTTTTTATTCCTTCACGTTCCCAGTGGAACATAGGGCTTCAAGTGAGAGCCAGCTTGAAGTTTCTGTAGCAGTGGTGTTTATTTTTACGGGATGGAGTTGCTAGCTTCATGCCCAACCTTCCCTCTTTACCAGTCGTATTACTGGCTTAGCGAGGTAAAGGAGTGCGTCGGTGGCCTGAGATCGAACCCCAGACCAAGTGCATGGTTGGCGAGCGTCCTAACCGCTGTGCCACCGACGCACTAGAGGCCTCACCGAGACCTCCATCTTGTAACAAAAATGAAATTGGCATCCTATGATTTCATGCAGCACACGTCTGTGTAAGATTCTCAGTTGATTCATCAGTTTCTCTCTCTCTCTTCCATGCATCCTTCCGTATTCATGCATACACGTAAATGCACACATTGTCCAAACAAATCTATCATAAGTAATAAACAGGTTGGGGTACTATCATATTACTAAGACAAATGAACATATTCACGAATTCAGGGTATCGGTTTGCCTCCCATATATACACACACACACACACACACACACAGACAATGTAACAATAACAAAAAGGCTTGAATTTTCAATCAACAGAAATCTTATTAACATCATTATGATTAATTAAAGGTTAATCATAGAAACTAAACAGGGAAATATTGTAATCAAGTCAAGCGCCGATAGAAAATAAAATAAATTCAAACAAAAGTTCTGTTGAGAAGAAAAGTTAAAGTAAATAAGTAAAGTATTTACATAAATAGAGATTCTTTGATAAATGATTTGGTGAAATCTTCTTTTCTGCTGATTTCAAATGAAACGCTTAATTTTGATTGATTTTGGTGCTGATTGGACAAAACTACTTCTTGATTTACAAACTTCTGTTGGATGTTCAGCTCTTTCTCGTTTATTATGCGTTTTACTGAAATAAAAATAAGCAAAAGATGAAATTACAACCTTTTTTATTTAAATTAAAAAAATCCGTATAATCATACACTAGTTAGCGGAAATCTGCTGAATGAACTCAGTATAAGAAATAAAATTTAGATTTTTAATACTAATGGCAGTTTCAATGCCTACTTCTATATGGTGCGTCACGAAAAGCATCTCTAACAGTCTGTTGAAGACTTTCATCAACCGGTGTCTTCGCTTTATACTGAAGATCAGATGGTCGGCCAGAAACGACTACCGACAAGAAATTTAATTGGTGGGTGGTGACTAGCAGTAGAATCCAGGATGCGCTTTTCGTCCTATTTGAGACTTGTCAGCTGGACGTACCTGCATTCCCCAGTGAGTGATGATGATGACGAGTCCCAGATAGGACGAAATGCGCATCCTAGATTCTACTGGTAGTCACCACCCACCAATTAAATTCTAATAACATGCGTAGACATCTTCGAAGCATCTGCATAAGAAACCAACATGTCAACCTGAGACCGAGCACTTCGGTTCAATCAATCGACGGGAAAATCTAAAATTAAATTAAATTACCGACAAGAAACTCTGATAATGAACTAACCAACCACTTGCCACCCTACAAATATGTGCAGAAGGAAAATGAGATGCATCGGGGACACACACACACACACACACACACTGGGGAAACCGTTGAGTGACATCGCGCATCAGGCCCTCTAGTGAAACCCGAATGGAAAACGGTAAGTTGGACGTCCGTGGGTGACGTGGAGATAAATCATATGAGAAGGAGATGGGAGCTTAAGGGCGACCGTCGAGTCAGTTAAAGAGGACTGCAGAGGACAGGATGGGATACAGGTGTGGTGTTGAAGCCCCATGTTCTACTCGAAACCCAAGGTGATAATAATAATAATAATACACTCGTAGAGCTATCATTCGCACAACACAACACAGATATTTAACCTATACAACTAGTAATGTATGTACGTTTATATTAGAGATATAATTTAAGCCGATTGTTTCGTGCTTAAAACCTGGATGCAATTTTTTCCATCAGTACTAAAAACAATCCTAATAATAATATTATTATAAGCAGTAGCGTCATTATTCAAGTTAGTCGAACTGTAGTACTCCTAACCAATTGGTTTGCTCGTAAGGGAATTATAAAATAGCAAAATTATTTAAGTTCACGGACAACTATACCTCACTGACTTTAATAATAACACTACTTCTAACTAATACATACAACTGGATACTGCCTAACCGATTCAACCATCTGGCAGACAGACTGACGTAAATGTTGGAACAGATCTGATCAGCAAATGAGCACAGAGGATGGATTAAAAGTGATTAATTTGAATCCTGATATTTTGCTAATTTTCAACTACATTCAGTATCTTTCCACAGTAATATATTTATTAGAGAACCATTAGAAAACCACAGAGTAGTGGACACCTGTTTCGTCCTAGTTTGGGACTCTTCATCGGTACGCTCCCACCAGGTTTCGAAATCAGGACCTCTCAGTTACAAGACAGGCTCGTGGACCGTTCAGCCACTGGAACCCAATCCAATGGCCATGAATTTTGACACCCGGTGGGTGCGTACCGATGAAGAGTTCCAAACTAGGACGAAACAGATGTCCAGTACTCTATGGTTTTCAGTGGTTCTTTAACTGATGTCAACTCGTGATCAAACTCAAAACAAATCAACTGTTCAGTATTCCCTGGTTTTCAATGATTCTCTAACTGATATCAATCCGTGGTCAAACTCGAAAAACAAGTCTAATCCTTACAAATCAACTTTTGAAAATTAATCTGATGCTCGCTAGTGACTTGCTACAGGATGGAGTTTCCTGGAGTTCTAGTGAGAAGTCGTGACCAGTGAGGTCCATCCAGTCAAGTGTGAGGATGGATTTCCCACCGATGACATTGGTTGGTGGTTGCGCTAAAATAAATCACGAATTGGTAGAAGTTAGAATTCATGGGCTGGCCATTGAGTCAGCTCCCAGTGGCTGAATGGTATACGAGCATTAAAAATGTTAAGTGAGTGAAAATCGAGGACTGATTTCAATGACACCCACGTACTATCCACAGCTAGGCTGTAGAATACTGCATCTCAAAAATTCCCTCAATCTATTTCATACAACACAAAAGAAGCACATGTAGGTGTTTCAACTAAGTGGTAAGGCATATATATATATATACTAGGTGGAATGCTGTTATCAGAAAGCACATACATAGACTCATATTTTCATGAAAAATGAGGAAAGACATACTTAAAACATCGTTTGCAGAAGTAGTCATCGCATTCTTGGCACATCATGTTGGCGTCTTCATCACACATACAACACCACGGATCATAGTCGCTCGGGGCTATATCACTTATTTGTTCTTCTTCAGGTAAGGTAATCCCACACTTTTTATCGAGCAATGCTTCTTCTGTGTACTGAAAATATAAAAACAAGAAGTTATTCAACATTGTCAGTATCTTCATGATTAAACAACACTTATTGAATGAGTTAACCATCATAACAAATGACATCAAGTAAATTGTATTAGAAGTTTTCAAACATACGGTGAATAAGTACTATACTACATTACACATGAACGTGGTATTCAGGGGAGACTCAACAGCAGATATCCTACAGAGAAGAATCTCTAGTTCCCTACAGCATGGCTAAGAGTGACATTCTGTAGTCGCCGACTGCCTCTGAGAAATTTGAAGCTCTAATTCCCAAATCGGACCACTCTAATGTGTATATATCAATTCACCTGTTCCTGCTGAGCTAGATACATAGGCAGTTCTAAGCACGTCCTTTCAAAACATGTTAGAGAACACTACCCAGCACAGCTGCAAAGAGGCGACATTGGTTCAATCGGAAGCGCTATAATTGCATCGAGTTGAAAATTATTACCCTCCTTCTTTGATCTCCATCAGTATGTGGAATAAATTATAATTGTATCTACTATGTACATTTATGTATATATAAATGCGATTGTGCAGCTGCTTTTAAGGAAGAAATCGCTGAATAGATATCTGTTTGTAGGGCCTTTACCTTTCTCCCAAATGCCCTGATGGCTATTTTCGCCGAATGAGTTAACTAGAATGACAGAATTCTGTGCTAAAGTGAAGAGAGGTAAGACAGGAGTTTATTGGTATAAACCTCTCTACTTCTGTCTATTCTTCAAATAACTATATTTTGTAGTAATGAGCTAAAACCGTCCAATACCAGAACTGAAAATTTAAGCTAGTGGGGAAAACTAGATGTTGTTATAATTTGATTGCGCAACCTTATACAACCAATCAAACTGGTTTATTTTGGTTGAACACTAGTTAGTAACTAGTGTAATGTATCTAGTCCTTTGTTTGATGCAGACTGAATTCTATCAGTCAGGTTTGCAGTGTGGCCACCATTCTAGATGGATCACCATCACAGTGCATTCAGAATTGTTGTTATTAGATGATTGAAGACAATCGGCAGGAAGCCACATTGCAAACCTGAGTGATAGAATTCAGTCTGCACCAAACAAAGGACTAGACACATTACATTAGTTATTAACTAGTGTCCAATCAGAATATTCGATACAGTCCTGCAGGAGGTCAATCGCAAGGCTGAATAGCTCAGTGATAACGTCTGTGGTTCCAGAACTGGGTGACATCGGTTCGAATCTCAGAAGGGACATGAGTTCCTTTAAGGTGGCAGATACGCCCTCTTGACGAGTGCCAACTAGCACGAAACCTAGGTCCAAGGCCTCCTGCCGATTGCCTCCAACTATTCAATATCATCAAACAAATATATATATAGCTGTAGAGCTAGATGACGAAACTATCGAAACGAATACTCTTTGCTTAATCTTTTATGGTCTTCTGAATAATTATAACTTACAGTGTTGATGAGAATATTCATTTCTTTTACTTTAACCCGAAATACGACTACTACTACTACTTGTATGGTTTTAACAATGATGAAAAGTACAACGTAGTTAATTCAAATAAAATAACAAAGCACCCATCGGTTATGTGAAGAGTATTCAGTCAGTAGTAGATACCTCACAGAACAACAAAGTTGTACAACTACACAGCATTCTGTAGAACTTATTATTGACAATTCACTTGCGTCTAATCTACACAAGAAAATTTCAGTCACTAGTTTAGTTCATAGTGCTCATGTAGTGGAGAAAATGAGAGCTTTCAAGGTAATTCATCGCACCCCACCGAATCTTTCCAATAGACTTCGTATTCGTCTACTGCACACAACTGAGGCGATAGGCACTCGAACTACCAAAGCCTAAATTATGCATTCAAAAGAAGTTCATGCAGCCATTATCCCTCCCTTGGTCTACTAAAACATGATGACTTCTCCGTCAACCCTTATTTATATTTTCAACCCCTCTATAAATCATTCCTTAATCTTATCACATCTTCATTAAAAACGTATTTCATTTACTTCCCTTACAAACTAGTTTAAACAACAAATTTCACAACAATGGATAACGGTCTTAATCAGGAGATCCAATACAGGAAATTTGGAAATACAAGTATATAGAAAATCAACGCACACAGATCAAATACTCAACTATACTAGCAATAATCCAATTACTCACAAAAGAAACTGTGTGCAGACATTGTTTAAAAGAATTCAAACACACTGTAGCACTCCAGAGTTGAAAAGAATGAAAGAAAAATACCTACAAACGGTCTTCAAAAAGAATGGTTATCCACAAAATTTCATCAAAAAGTGTTTAAAATCGAATCACAACACCAACAAGGAACCACCATCAAAGACCACAAGAAAATTCATCCTACCATACATGAAAAATATCTCTGAAATAACAGCCAGAATAGTGAAACCGTTTGATATAGATATAGCACACAAGCCAGTCAAATCGCTTAATTCGATATTATGCAAACCGAAAGATCCAACAGAAAAAGGAGATAAAATTAACACTATTTACAAAATAAATTGCATGTATGAACTGTAACGGGCATTACATCGGCCAAAGTGGGCGTCCCCTTCGAATCAGAATCCAGGAACACAAATCAGCCATGAAAAGACACGATATATATTCTTTAGTATCAATGCATATAGACAATTATGGACACCAGTTTGATTGGAATAATGTCGAAATCTTAGACAGAGGAAACACCAAAAGTGCCAGGGAATTCCTAGACACCTGGTACTCAAACGAATATGCAATTAACAAACACGTTAATATAGACGAAATATACCAACTAATAAAAAGTAAATCATGTGACCAGAAAGTTTAAAACCCAAGTCCATAGAAAATGATCAATACATATGTAAAGATGGTTACCAGGAGACGCAATTATATCACTCATGAAAAATTCAGATCATTTCACTTTATGCTAAATATTGCACTGAAGATGTTGTCCAGAAGGACGACGAAAGCTCCACAACTAAATCAACCAGCTCAGAGAACACTATTAATTGCAAATGGATAACATAGTACACAATCCCCTCTCTTGTTGAAGTTTGAACTGAAAAGCAATTCAATAATAGCAGACCTAAACAATAGTTGAACGTCACCGCCGTATTACGCAGTGTACATTCAATAGACTGGATTACATCGATAGTAGTAAGCTTTGAAACAAAACTTAAAAAGGAGAAAGGTAATGAAGAGAAATGGTATGTAATCGAAAACAAAAAAGCAATCACTATAAGTCTTACTAACCTGCTTTACAAGCCTAGTAACTTCATCTTCCTCTTTCTTTGAGGTATTTATAGAACAGGAAGGCTTCTTATTTGTCTTATTTGTCAGTCCTTTAAGTTGTTGTAAACGCGACTCCAAGTTAGAAACGTTTTCCTTTACTACAGAAAAAAAAGTATTAGAAGATCTAGGCATTACCTTCAGTTCTAGGCACCTTGAGTGCTTCTAGCCTTTTTATGATATTATCCGTTTCTACACCTAAAAGTACACAGCCAAATTATCTTCGGAACGATTTCATACCAAGATTTGATGGGACTTTACAATTCTCACTACAATTTTTATCTTCTGTTTTACACCTGTGGTTAAAATATTAATACGAGAGAGGAAATACCTTAGCGAAGCAAGTTTGTCAGCTTTCCCATTAGGACTATTTACACTGAACAAATATGACACAGTTATGCCGAAATTCAAAAATCTACCTTATAATATCGTAGTAACAGTCGATACATATTGGTTTGTGTGACTTTGTTTTGTATCTTAAACAACTTGAGCATTGTATTGAGCCACAAATTTTACATGTTTTCTAAAGATTTTATTTTTTTTAAATAATTAATTTCCAGCTTACTTGTCTTTTCAATGCTGTAAATTCTATGCGACAAAGGTCACAAGACATTCTTAAAATGTCATCGAGGGAATTCAACAATTCACACTAAAAGGGAAATTTTTCATACAATATAATATAAAAATACAGAGGAGTTAAACAGCTGGATTAGAATCACCATAATAGTTAAGAAAAATAATCTAGTAACAAGATTAGTGACGAGGGCGTCGGTAGCACAACGGTAGAATGCTCACCAACCACGCAGGTGGTTCGGGGTTCGGTCCCCGGCCACAGACGCACTCATTTACCTCGCTACGCCAGTAATACGACTGGTAAAGAGGGAAGGTTGGGCATGAGGCTAACAACCCCATTCCGTAAAAATAAATACCACTGCTACGGAAACTTCAAAGCTCTAGCTTGAAGCCCTATGTTCCACCAGGAACGTAAAGGAATAAAATAAATTAAAAAAGATTAGTGACTAACAAACTGACAGTCAACACGAATTCGTTAACCGTATCAGGACAAGGATGACTAAATTCAGTCAAGAGACTTTGGGAAATCTCCACCTAGAGTTAACTTCATTATTATTCGATCCTTCCGTGAAATGTACCAGTTGATAGACAATAATAAACTATGTAGCTCAAAATGTCACATCTCATATGGGCATATTGAATATAATGTAACAAAGAAACAGGCATAACTGTACAGAAACAACATAACCACGGAGCTATATGACAACAAAAAAATAGAACCAACAGAGAAATAAGATGAAACAACCAAGAATGAATCTGCGCCACTGCGGTGGGTTCTAAATTGTATCATCTAGATGCTTAATATAGACTAAATTATCAGTCATAAAAGGATGTCACATCTGGATCCGGTAAATTTCTTTCAACCTAATACTACTCCTGCTGTAAGCGTAGTGTTATTACTGCTGTCGTCGTGCTTCATCATCGGGCGCGGACAATATTACACACACAAACATGGTCAAATATTTGATATCCATGTAAGTCCACTACGTTTAATAAATGTTCCGCATGTATACTGTAGGAACACTTAAAACATAGGGTTGATCAAGTGGAACTTGACCAACTTTTTGAATGACATTTTGATAACAACACACCAACTTAAGTAATAAGTAAAAAGTTATGAAATTGGAAATGAATTATAATCTAGTTCAATTATTTTTGTGTTATATTATCACACCACTCGGTAGGTTACATATGATCTACGTATGTAACAGACTTCACTACACATAAAACTCCTCTCCCGGATTTACAGAGGGAAATGTATTCACTAGTAGTTACTCTGCGGATTTAGAAAATGCGACAGATACTGCAAGATCTAAATGAAGTCTTCTCCACTGAGCAGCATTTTTCCAACGTGTGGAAGCAAGAGTCTTTTGACTTGTGGACCGCGATTAACTGACTGACAATGATGATCAAGCAGTCGAAAATTCACCTGATCATCATTCATGAACACAAGCAGTACCAATTACATCAGGAGGCAAGATGACTACTTTGGAAGATGGGCATAAGTTTCTCTTCTCGCCCCTACATTTGAAATCTCCTACAGCATGGATAATGCAGAATTTTGAATGTTAGGTGACGTCACACCAATTTTCAAAAGATTTCAATAGAGCAAAAAATATTCATTCAGACATTTAGAAAAAAACAAAAAATTGAGCAGAGAATATCCTTTTCGATATTTGCCTCTTCTGACTCTACAATTATATATATATATATATTTTTTTTCTAAAGTTTGGTTTGTAAGGATTAGTTATGTTTTACGAGTTGATCACGGACTGATATCAGTTAGAGAACCATTGAAAACCAGGGAGTACTGGACAGCTGCTGTTTCATCCTAGTTTGGGAATCATCGGCAGTACGCACCCACTGGGATTCGAACCCAGGACCTACCAGTTACAAGGCAAGCTCGTATACCATTCAGCCACTGGGACCCGATTCAATGGCCAGTGCATGAATTCTGACTTCTACCAATTCGTGATTTTAGCGCGACCCCAACTATTGTCGTTGGTGGGAAATCCATCCACACATGTGACTTCTAATTGGACCTCACTGGTCACGACTTCTCACTAGAACTCCAGGAAGCTCCAACCTGTAGCAAGTCACTAGCGAGCATGCCTTGTAACCGGAAGGTCCTGAGTTCGAATCCCAGTGGGTGCGTACTGCCGATGATTCCCAAACTAGGATGAAACAGCAGCTGTCTAGTACTCCCTGGTTTTCAATGGTTCTCTAACTGATATCAGTCCGTGATCAACTCGTAAAAAAATATATATATATGCTTATATACATAGTATATTCAAGAATAATCGTCATTAACAATATTGGTGTTTTTAAACACTATTGACTTGTTAAGTAAGATCAATGGAATTACAGTTCACGAAAGATGCATAGGTTGTAATAAGCATCAAAATGTAATAGCAACTAGAATATCAAATAAAAGTAGGTAAATTTCCACAATAAACTGAGGACCATTGAAACCTTGATGGCCAAGGTAAGGATAATGTTTGAACCAACTACTTTTGGATACATAATTTAGCCTTCTCAATGTGGATTCCGACAGCCAGCCTCAGCAATATGTAGTAGACGGACTCTTAAGGCATAGGTTAAGACTAATTGGTATGCAGTAGATGACTTTCAAAGTCTCGTTAACATCAATCTTGTGTTCTGTATCCACGAGATGAAACAGAATAGAGCTATGAATGGATTTTGTTTGTCCCTTACTTAACCATTATGCAAGGTAATGTTCGGAAATCCAACGATTAACACGCCTAATTGTGCGGCGTATGTAACTGGCTCCACAGGAGCAGTAAAATTTGTAAATACACATAGAAGAGGCGAAATTAGACAGATCATGTTTATATATATATATATATTGTAGAGCTAGGAGAGAAAATTATCGGAAAGGAATATTCTTTGCTCAATTTTTCTGTTTTTCCAAATTTTCGAAAGGTTTAAGTAAATTAATATAGTACTGTAGTAACTTTTATTCATATCTTTTGAAGTCAAATGTCTAGTATGATGTGAAAGACTGCCTACTTTTTAACTCCTCAATATATGGGGCTTCGGAAAAATATTTTTGCAATAAATTTTTAAAGTGTATAAGTAGACCAGTACCAGTAAAGACAAGGCTTGAATTCCGATGGTTTTAGATGTACTCAGTTGCTGAATACTTTCTTAACAAGGGAAAAATGGGATAAACAGTGGGATGTTCCTTTCAGAAGGCAGGGTAAACGACAAGACTGATTCGTTAACGTGCATATAATGCGTAAGAAAAGGTGGGCAGACTTTATGTATGACATCGGGAAACCCGGAAAAAGCGGGATAACCGCTCCTTCATGAAGTGTGGAATATAAAGTAAAATTGGATATACTGGTAGTGCATCCCTGTCTTCGGTGGATTTATAGAAACTTGTGAATGGCAACGTGTTGATTTTCATTAAATCTGTAGATAATTATAAATTCGTTCCTAAAATGGACCAGCTTCAAGGAAATTTCAGTCGGATTAGAAACAGTTACTCGTCTGACTGGAGCGTTTAGTGCATCATGAAAGACGCAGGTCTTGTGTTGAAATAAATACCTTACCTAATATTGAGTGTCTGTTAGAATAAGCTACCTATCAACAATACGGAAAGAATGTCAGTCTTAAGCACAACGGAAGAGCATTCACTAACCGTTCGAATATGGGGGGATTTCGAAGTACCTCATTTCCTCTGAGGTTTTCTGAAAGCAACTTGCAGTGTCTGACAATTCTGTGTTAATTTAACCTATGAACCCGATGTTCGGGTCTAACTGTCCGAAACTAGCTGTATTCAACCACACATGAGCCTTCGAACAACACCAAAGCAACCTGGATGCGTGTAGTCCAGAGGAATGCTAAATTCTTAAATGCAGATGTCTCTTTATGATATCCTGCCAGTTAGGAAGTGTTCATCAGTCATTTTAGGTACACCGATATTTGTATATGTTACAGGTTAGTTATTATACTGCACATCCATATAGTACCAATCATATCCGTTTTCGTTGTTATGACCAGCTGTAAATATGACGTCTGATATCGAAGGCTTAACACAGACAACGGTACTTAGTGGGGAAATATGTGACTGCCTCATTTATTTATTCACAAGCCGCTTTCAGATAACTACTCCACAATCCAGGTTAAGTCTACAGGTTTTCGGAAATCTCTCTAAAAAGTATGCCAATGAAAAACAGTTGCGTATTAATAACAACCCATCGTATATCCACAGGATACTTGCAAATGATACAAACTTAGACCGAAAAAACAGTATGCGCATAAGGCCATCACATTAAAAAATATGGTAGTGCACTCTACCAATAATCTCCTTAAAGGAACAGAAATCACTTGACATTTCACGGAGAATTCCGATTTCACTCATAAAGTCTACCCAGCTTTTCCCACCTATTTCGCATGAGTTGGCAAATTACTCTGAATTTTCCGTCTACTTCATTTTCTAAAAGGAGCATTCCACTATTTGTTCCATCCTACCTAGGTTAAATATAATTCACGGACGTTAGTGAATTATCCAGTCTGCGTATGCAAAATCTACACTCTTCAATCAATAAAAACCTATATAGAAGTTTAAATTAGCAAAAGAAACTGAACTCATGTGGATATACTTACTGTAAATCTGGTAGGGAAAAATGTATTAACCACTACACTGACCTTCAAGTGTGACGCAAAATCTGAATATACGGACTTTTTCATTTTCAGATTTCAGTTTATTTTGTCTGGGGATAGAAGACTTCATGTCTGTTTATCCCTTTCTAATAAATGTCTCTGTTTTTGTGATGGTTTCTTGAACAAGTTGTTTTGGGAGTATAGTCTCTACTTTTAATCATGCAAGAACCACTGCTGCACAGCGATATGGCTCTTTCTTAGCTTTTTAACACTCCTGCTATTTCCTCTGTGGTTTCCTCTTCCTGTATGGAGGAGAAGAAGGGACAGATCAATTCCATAGTTATTCCGACTTTTGGAACTCATGATTATATCTCCTCTCTGCCAACTTTTTTCTAATCAGGAGACTACGAA